TTAAAAAACACCCGAAAAACATTCTCAACTGAACATGTCGCCGTATATCAATTAAGCGACAAACCACCAGTGATCGTTTTTTTAATTAATTTATTTTAACAGAAATGAATACACAGTAACTTCCTAACTACATCAATGTTTGTTTGAGTAAGAAATACCAATCTATAAGATTTAACACTTCATAATTATGATTGATACTGGGTTATTATAATAGTGTAGGAAATTGCTATCCCGATAATAGTGAACACCAAAGCACGATCGACAACAAATATGTTCCATCCAGTGAACTCAGGAGTTTCTTGAAGACATTTTATGGAAAATTAGTATGCACAATCTTGCACGAAAGCATTACAAGAAAGTGACTTTCTGTACACAACCGCCGATATATTTTTTGCAGCATTAGATACACGAGCTGCAGCGTTACAAACAAACATAAATAAAAAGAACGAAAGTGCATTCAAAGCAAACCCAGTGATATGATTTATGTCTAAAATAGTTAATTTGAAAAATAACCAGCTAAAATTAGAAACTATATTTCCTCCTGAGATAATTGTCCAAATTAACAATATCTTGGAATAGTATCCTTGGAAATTGTCCACAACTGACTTGATCCTCATATATTCTTCAGGTATGTGAGAGATTTCTCTACAGAAGTCTTCAGGCATGTATTTCTCTATTTTACGCAATAACTCGACAAATACCGATTCCAATTCTTTGCAGATTAGAATGAATAGTATGAAGCAGAAATAATGTGGGGTTGTTATAAAGACTACATAAACCATTTTTATAATCATTGCAAGTGATATTGAAATGTTTTCCGTAATTACAATTCCGAAAAATGTTCTAAGATTATATATATCAATTATTTTTTTCTTTTGTTTTGGTAAAACAACAAAGGAATAGTGCCATATATAAACTATAGCATAAATCCAAATTACAGCCATTAAAATTATTATTCTTTTGACATTTAACCGCTTTGAATTACTTAAAGCGAACAATTCTTTCATACTGCAAATAAGATTCCTTTTATAAATAATAAATAAATCGATAGAAATTACTAACATAAATATATATAACGTTGAAATAAATAAATTCAATATCTTCACTGAATGGTTATTCTTAAAATTAGAAATTATTCTATAGAAACGCCAAATAATATAGACTTTTTGTACAATTGACACTACGACACTATGAATAGATACATTTTTCGTTTGAATGTTTAAACCTAAAATTTTCATATTTACAAAGAGAATTTTCCATGAAATCGATAATTGATCTTTCTGATCTTCTACTCTTGGTTGTACGTTTATCACCAACGAACTCATGACGATACTTCTGTTGTAAAAATTCATACCAATGTATTATTAAATTTCCCACGTCCGAAAATAATTACTATTACTTACTTACCTTCTTGAATTTACTTGTGAATTCGGAATGTGGAAACAAATGAATTAACGTTTAAACGAGATACAAGTGAATATCGTCAAGCAATATCAACACGAGGGTTCTTGCCGAAATAGGGAGGAAAGTGTAAAACCTAACAGGCTGCACAGCTACGACGCTTGGATGACGTAATAATTGGCAGGACATCCGCAATGAACACGTCACTTCGATGCGTAAAAGTGTAGTTCTAAACTGGGACGTTTGTGACGTCATTTACAATCGCTGCACCGTTTAAGCAGTACTTTTTTACATTGGTATTCAAATCATTTAGACCACACCTTTCGAAAAAGCATTCTCCAATGAAAAGAAAGATTTGTGTTTTATTCACATGCCGAATATTTGGTATTATTCTTTATTCAGATATATTATAATATTTTACAGCTAAACAATCTATTTAATTAAATACTAAACACCTGTATATGATAATCAGTTTAAAGTTATTGTTCAAACTATCAAAATTTTCTGTATATATTTATCTAAACAGATCCAAAAATCATTTCAATGTTTAAATTTCGTATATTCTTGTTTTGTCTTGTGCTACTGTAGATAATAATATTGTATTATGATATTAAATTTCAATACTTTTCTGCTTATTAAGGCATATTGATCACTACGTAATTGAGAATTACGTAGTGATCAATATGCACACAAGTAAGGACATCTCATAATTTGAGTTAACAAAGGTAAAGTTAGTCTAGCTTCGCCCTTGTAAAATATACAAAAAACAATAAAAAGAAAATTTACAAACTCGAATAATAATAATAATCATAATTGAAAAAAATAGTCTATAGTGAAGAAACTGCAATGCTTCCGTGTTATGAGAATATGAGTATTTCCTTGTTTATCATAAATATTTTCAGTTTGTAAACACTGTATTTGATGAGACTGCTAAAATACTTCGAGTTTCACTGGCAATTTATCTAAATATTCTTTTATGTTAGAAAAAACAGCTTGTCTCTAATAACAGATAAAATTGCGATTGCTAGTGATTTCCTAGAGTTCATCACTCTAGAGCAGAGGTTCTTAACCTGGGGTGCGAGAAAAGTTTCAAATTAAAAAAAAAAAAAAATACAAACGAGGCCACCGTGTTTTCTACAAACCATGGTACCCAGCAACACGGCACCCCCACTTCTTCATTCTCTACCGTCTCACTTCTACACTCTCTACTCTAGTGTCTCTAAGCACATATCGCTTGTCGTCAGTACATGCAGTTAATGTAGTCACGTTTTCACATGCACTATTGAAACTAGTTGAGATGTGTTCGCATACCTTGAATACAGCACTTTTGCACATCAAAACAGAAGCCATAAATCGCTTAAATGCATCTGATGATTTACTCGTAGTTCTTTCAAAAAGAGCGTCGTTTTAAAAGAATTCTTATGAATAAACAACAACAACCTAGCCATTAAAATTTAAATATTGCTTTTCATGTTATATAGTAATATATACTGTGAATAAACACGGCATTTGTTTACGCAATAAATGGTTTTTCTTAAATAAAAAATGTACACATATTTTTAAGGGAGTGCAAGAACTTATTTTCAGATTCAAGGAGATGCTGACCATTAAAAAGGTCAAGAACAACTGCTCTAGAGCCAGGGTCAATAAAGTATGACCTGCGAGGTCAGTTATTCTGACCAGCCGCGCACTGTCCCATAAATGAGCTAAAATATAATTATTTACATGCAAATATCGCAGATTGTAAGTGAACTATGTAGATAAAACTCAAATAAGTGCAAACAAATGCCAAAATCGATCCAATCTGATTTTTGCGTTTTGACAGTAATATATTTTTATGAAAATCAGTAAAATGAAAAATTCGGCGACTTTTGATATCATGGTGGTTTTTTGTGTAAGCACCTGCAATGAAGTTTCTAAAAAAAGCGATTACCAGCTTACTGTAGCGATCGTATTTGCTTATTAGTAAATAAATAAATAAGATGATTGTCTTTATTTTTTGCGTGTTCAGTATACTATATTGAACAAAATAGTTACGCGGCCCGCGCTCGTCATTCTCTCAGTTATCTGGCCCGCTGTTTAAACAAATTGATGACCCCTACTCTACACAATCTTCTGCGAATGAATTTCAACAACACAAACCTTAATTTTTCGGTTTTCATATTAATTAATTCCCTACTGCCTTCGATTGTGACATGTCGTGCTGTTATTTAAGCCACGTATTTCGAATTTTCAAGAAATCTCTCCATTTTGCTATAAACACTAAACTATACATTTTTCTAACATCATTCTTAGACTGCATCGTAATTTAATTTTTGTAGTTTTTGTCGCATAATAATATAAATTTTAAAAGATAAAATCTAATACAAACTTCATTATTGATTAGAAAACATTATTCTTCACTTTATGAAAGGTGATTAGTACATGCAATTTGTAATAAATCGTGCAATTTTAAACTTGTAATTGGCCGGAATAATTAAGGGTCAGATTAATTAACAAGAATGTATACTTCCAAGAATTATTAAATTTGTTAATATATTTTCAATTATTATTGATTTATCTAAATATCTGATAGATTATTTATAAATTTATCTGTTTTATGTGTTTCGTTTTCCTCCATTCACTATATTTCCCATTTTACACTGTCTTCTTCAATAAGCAAATAAAACACAAGTTTTTAATTAAAATTTTTATTTACTTGTTGACAACAAACGAAATGTCATTAATTAATTTCGAATTTTCACGATAAATGTTTGGAAAATAAGAATTTAAAATCGATTAAAAGTTACGTTTGCACGCTACTGTCATTGTCGATATTGAAGAATATAAAGTTTTGTATTTCTGAAAAAACACTACTGTTTCAATTTATGGACTCTTGATAATCTCATATGGAGAAAAAATATTTTATATTTTCATAATTCATAAAATACGATTAATTGAGTATTTAACGCGATATATCGGCATATTTACTCCATATAATTAGCTACAATTACTCCCATTACAAGGAGTGTTACCCGCGATGGTGTCATAGATAAATGAGGCCATAGGATAGATCTACTTGTACGGTCGAATCTCAAGAATTTTTCTAGAACAATCGTGCCTTATCCCTCACTAACCCCCTCCGGCACTATTGTGAGACTGAACGAACGAAATATATTTCTAAAATAGCCTATTTATTCCCACAGAGCAAGAAAGAACCAGTAATGAAAATCCCACAGTAATATATTTAATTGGTATTTTAAAGTATTTTTCAAATTTATTCTTAAACTAGATTTATCATCTTCTCTCAAATACTGGCATTGAATAGTTGTAATAGTATGTGTTTTGTTAATTTTAACATCACGATAACAATATTCACATATATCTAAAGAATATTTGTTGTAATACTCAGTTATATCAAATTATAAAAGACCGTTGATTTAATATCTTTATTATGTGAAATGCACAGCTTGGTAATTATTTTATTCCATTTAGAGGTAGTTTTTACGTTTAAATTGCACAAAGAGTTTCCAGATTATAGAAATAATACAGTATTTTTAAAAATATTGTATGTGAAGTCCATATATTATTAAAATATTAAACAGTTGTTCGTTTTTTACTTACACGAACTGAAAATAAAATTCATTATTCGTTCAAATATTTATTTATTCAAAATTATATTTACTTTTCACTTTCTAAATAAGTTTTAAAACGTTAACGTTGTTTAATTTTAAATTAAATTTAAAAATATATTTTCGATTGAAATTTCGTAATGGCATACTTCTTTGCAAGTGTTTCTTAAAAATATCCTGTATCGTAGGATCAATGGTATTGTACGCGAATAGAATTCGTAGATTATATCATGCGTACACTTTCTCAAAACAATTCTCAGACAATTTCCTGTCTTTATTTTTATTCGAGACCTTGAGATAATTCTCTATAAAATGCGTAGAATGAAATTCTGTAACATTTTAATACAGTACAGTACTTAGAAATATAAAAAAAAAAGTTGCCATCAGTGGCCTAATGCATAAAACTATTGAACTTGGTACTCGTACTTGTGTTCCCGCCTGATTAGAGAGCTGGCCATGTGGATTTTGTTGGTTTCCTTCTCGTTTTTAGCATTTAATTAGTAGACGGTTTTCCATAGAAAGTCCTCACAAAGTATTTCCCACGCTTCGCGTTGTTGTATAAGTGTATAAATATAAACCAACAAAAGCACCATTGTAGTTTTTCGAACTAAAACCATTTTATTCCATTAGTTTATCCAGTTACCACGTCTGTCGCCAGGTTTGCTCGTAGCTAATACAATAAAAATGTATAGGTTTTGTTTCTTTTTTATGGACACTATAAACTTCGTTTTCCATATCCCTCGTGGGTTCGACCGATTAAATACGGAAACAGCTGAGTGATAAATAAGACTGACATGTTCATTTCAGATCAAAACTAAAGATTTCTAAAAAACTGCTCACCCGGAATCGATTGCAGATTGCCCAAAACACTAGGCTGATGCCTTCCACGCCTGGACTTTCCCACCATAAACGAACACTAGATATACATCTATCATTTATTCTTTTCGGATGGGATGTCATCGTCCGCTATCACTGCCTTTGATATATGTATTGAAATTCCATGTGCTAAATGTAATTTTTTGTGTACGATTTTAAGAAAATGGTATTATTACCTTGTACAGTATAGTTGATTTTATGTAGTTTCGAACTCAAGAAAACGAGCTAAAACAGAAATTTGTGTATGATGTATTTTATTTTTAATAACTTCAAAATATTGTCTAGTTGCTTCTAGAACAAATTGTCTTTACACGTACATCACTGTGTTATTATTAAATAAGTGTAGACTTATGAAAATAGGTAAATTTATTCGTTTTTGATTATTCGCTTTTACGAGCTACATAAGTTCTACTTTATAAAATATTCTGTTAATTCTCACGTATTATCTTGTGTATTCAAAGCTGTATACATTCGACAATAAGTATATTTTGTAGTTACGTTTACTCGTTACTATCCCGGATATTATATACAACAGAGGAAACATAGGGCGATCGGTCAAAAATTGACCCTTCCGAAGATGTTACATTTTTAGAATCAGGGAAACTTAAAATGTCGAGAAATTTAAAAAAATTCGTGGTTTTTTGTATGTATGGATGTTTCTGTGTTTGTGGGGGAAGCATGATTTTGTTCAGTTTGTTTGAAGCTTAATAATTCCTATACTTTTTCTCGAAAATTTCTGAAATTCAACATGGTTGGCTGTTTATTAAGGGATTGGTTCTAAGTAGTATATATATGAAAGACTCTGGGATAATTTGGTTAACTTTGCGAGGTTTATAACTTTTATTCCAGAAACTCTCATCATTTTGAGGGAAAGACGTCGAGCAGGGGCTAAAATCGAGCAAAATCGCAGAATCTCTCGAGCAATTCCGAGATAATTACCATCCCAGAAACTCTCACAGGAGTCGAAACCACACCCATTTTCGATGCCCCTTCGGTTATACTTTTCCGCGAGATTTGAACGAGAGGTTCTGGAATAAATCGTTCCGTTATAAGAGAACATTGGCGAGATATCGCGAATGAAATTATATATATATATATATATAAGACTAAGGATATTGTAAACGTATAAGAGAACTATTATTTTGTATAATCAAACTAATATTTTATTTATTAACATTAACACAACGATTATCATTTTTGCGAGTGGCGCCATCTGGTAAGAAATATATTATTTTAAATATTTTTAATATATTTTCGAAATAATCGGATCATGCTATTTGCTATATATCGTTTTTTTAACGGTATTTATCGTGTCGCGACGGTGATTAAATAAACGACACAACAACTCTCTCTCTCTCTCTCTCTCTCTTTTATTTGAAAATAAAAGGTTTTAGATTTAAATTTAAATTACATCCCTGACACAATACCTGTCGAAACCTTCCATTTAAGTGATTATGATCAATTACGCTTACATCGTTAGGGGAAAACTTTTTTCCACAAATATTACATTTATCTCGATTAATAGAATTTGGAATTGTTCGAGGATCTAATGGAATATTAAGTTTTATTTCTTTAATAAGACGTTCCGATTGATGTTTTAAAGTTTCTAAAAAATTGTCTATAACGTCTAAGCCGCAATAAAATTTAGAATAGATAATTGTTTCGTTTTTATCTAATACGACCATCGCATAACAAATCGGTTTATGAATTTGCGTAACGGTACTAAAGCTAGTATCTGTTGATTGCATCGCGTTAGAAACTGTTTCTGTTAAACATTCGAAGTCGCAATAAACGACAACAGGATGCTTAAGCATCTTATGAAATTCGTTAAATTTAAGAATGGAATTTTCGACTGTAGGTACCGATAGTCTTTGAAATTTGAAATTTGTACATATTTCTCTATGTAAATTTAAACTCGATTCGCGTTGAAAACCGTTTAAACAATTTTTACAATAGTAATAAAGAGACTTTTGTTTTTCGTGTAAAAGTCTGTTGAAATTTCGAATTAAAAAATAATGATTTTTGTATAATAGTAAATTCGCAATTTTACCGAATTTAAACTTACTTATATAATACGGAAAAACAATATCTTTATAACCATATATATTAATGGAAATACTATTTGATTTCTCAAAAACATATATTTGGTCCAACGAAACCGGATATTTTAAATTCGAACAATTAATAAATTTTAAATATTTTTTATAGCTAGATATATTATTTTTATTATTTACCAATGGAAAAATACTCGCGAGAATGCAATAAACAAAACATTTATTATCATTACATCGAATATTTAAAATACATTTTTTATTTACTAAACGTTTAGGCAAAATTATAGAACCACAACCCCCATTATATGCATTATACGTCGCTCTATGAATATCAATATAATCTAATTTGTAAATTACCCACCCACTACCTAATACTACTGCAACAGATATATCTCCTAGAATTTTGTTTATCGCATTCTCAATATTCTTCCAACTTAGAAAAGGGCTTAGAACTCGTTCTGCATAACTCGTAAAGAAAAAATCTTTAAACTCGTATTTATCTCCCATTTCTACACTTTTGTACATTATTACTTTTAAGCTAATCACAAATCGTACTCTATAATCATTCCCGAAGTTCGTAATTACGTTAAAAAGTTCGGATTTTATATCTCTAAAAAAAATGGTTGGATCGATATATTCGAGATCACTTTTACGATAGCATTCTAAAAAATTTCGGAAGCCTGATTCTACCAGCAAAAACATTTTCTTTTTAAATTTTTACCTGACGAGTTAATGTTTTTAGACGATTTCTTCACATAAGAGAGAGATGCCGAACTAGACGATTTCTTCATATACGAGATATATACGATGATTTCTTCATATTTTTGAGAGAGAGAGACGTTCGCAATAATTCTATTTTAAAAAAAAATCAATTAAATTACATAATTTTTAAAACCATTATATTAAAAAAATTACTTACGCATAGATTTTTTCATTTAAATGAATTCTTCCAAATATTTTTGAACGGCGTTCAAAGCTTGAATAAAAAAATTAACTTCTTTTACCTAAATGTTGAATCTATTCTGTATCTCGCCTTTAGCACTTGTTTTCGCTAAACATACATAATACTGTTGTCTGAATTCTTTAATTTCTAGGTTAAACCCATGCGATATGTATATCGAATACGGCGGGATGGATTTAAACGACGATTCGTCCTTCGATATTACTAAATCATACTTCTTCTTTTTCTCCACCGGTGCATCATCGATTTTTGTTCTCAATTTACGCTTTTTAGTTGTAAAAGGGTTGTCGATTACAAACAATGACTGAGAATCTATGAAAAAAAGATGAATAACTATAAAAAATAATAATTTAATTTTCTTATTTAAAATCAAATCTAAATAAAAAAACATTTAGCTTACATTCCAGACATCTTTTCTTGCTTAGTTGTAGAGAGAGAGAGTTGATAAACTAATGAATCTATTTGTCTATTTCTCTTGCTTTTATATCCTTGATAATAAGGTTATTACCCTTTGACACCGTTAATATTTAATAACGGATGTGAATTTTAATTATTTGATTGTTGATTATTTGATCTGAGTGGGAAAGTGTTGAAGAAAAAAAAAACTTACATTAGTCATCTGGTGGGAAGTGTTGAAGAAAAAAAAACATTACATTAGTCATCTGGCGGGAAGTGTTGAAGAAAAAAAATGGGTGAGAAAGGTTAAAGAATAAAAAACATATTTCATTAGTTATCCCGTGGGAAGTCTTGCATTAAATATCTAATTGTATAAAAAGTTCTTAATATCTGTGTGAGAAGTCTTGAAGGAAAAAAAAACGAAAAAAACTAATCTTAGGGGAGATAAAAAAAATGTCAGGCAATATATAAATACTTTTATTTCTTCTTCGTCCTTATATCTCGGACAAAATAAACTCCATGCTCCAGGAGAAACATTACAAACATTATTTTTTAATAACCGGGGATACGTATTATTATGCAATAAAATTAATTGACTAAAAATGGATTCCAGTAATCATTCCCGAAAATTTAGAGAATGAAAAGAAATTTCGTTTTAAAACTGACGACAACAAATTAATAAAGTTAAAAGAATAAAAAAATATTTATTTTTTTATATTTTACTAAAAATTATTTTTTAAATATATAATATCTGTTTTAGTTAGCTTAAAAACTTATTAATTTCTAGAATATCCGGAACCATATTGGATGAGGGAAAACATACACGATTTTTACAAATATACCGGTATCTTAAACCTAAACCTAAACGACAAGATTTTTGAAAAGCTAAAAGTGTATGAATGGAAAGAATATGAAACTTTTTTAAACAACAAGTCATTTTTTAAACGAAAAAAAAAATTAATTAGCGATACAATTGCCTTAACACTGAGAAGAGAGGAAAATTGGTGTATTATAAATTATAAGGGAAAAACCCTTAGTTTATTTGAAACTGGTAAGGATCTTTTCAAAAAATTTAAATATATTTGTTTAGTTTTTCTTAAACGATTTAATATTATTTTTAGAAATGGAAACAATAGAATAAAGAAAAAATAATAGTGAGTAAAAATATTTCTTTCGTTTTTTGGATATGCGCAGTTAAATTTAGTATTAGTTTTTTTTCCAGGTTCAATAAAAACAATTTTTTTAATTTTAAATAGACTTTTTATTTGAGTAAACTAATGCTACATTGATTACATTTAATTTTTATATTAGATGGTAATTTAGCCAAGCGGAAATTATTGTGTATAAATCTCATTACAAAAGCATCATTGAATAGTTTAGTATTAGATTGTAATTTTTGCATATCTTGATTTCTCGATATTTTATAGAGAAAATATAGACAAAAGTATCCGCACATATAACTATACGGTCCTTGCAAAGTCAATTGATTCCAGCGTAACTGTTTCGAATTCCGACGAATAAATTTTATAATCGACCGGATTTTGGGAGGTAATCCGTACGAGTCGAAGTAAAAACACGTCGAATCTTGAAAATAAATCGCTATCCAATGTTGTCCCGGCTTTAGACTGCTATCAGTATTAATTATAAATCCTTTCTTCTTCCCGATTTTTTCGGGTAATAAATCCGATGGATAGACGCCTCCAAATGTCTTGCTAATTTCTGGATCTCCTAATGCTAGTTTCCATAGGGTAATCGTATCCATCGTTTAATAATCGATGTAAATATTCCGAGATCGATCGATTTCTATTGTATTACGATACTCTAAATAGCACATCACGTTAACTGTCTCCGGTAAAGATCTTTCAAACTTTAAGTCCACAGATATGTTTCCGTGCGTTAATATCGATGTATGATTTTCAGACGCTGCCTTATCAGGAGTTAAATCAAACACGTGAAACATGTATTCTTGCGCGTAATCGGAATACAATATATTAGCATATTTTCTGTAGGGTATTCCACCCATCTCTTCAAATAATGTTGCATAAACAAAGTGGTGCATCGTGAAAACATACTATGCAATAAATTATTTACGGGAGTAACGAGGTCCGTATCCAAAGTAGCCTTGCCATTTCGTTTAGTAACGGATAATTAAGCATTAATCGAAATACTGCTCAAATCTATTAAGCTTTCACCCGAACCGGGAATTAAAAATTCTATAGGAGATGTTTGGTTACTTATGGAGGCTATTGGAAAAAGGATTGTCGCAGTAGTATGTTCTATAGACAGCTGTGTGGGGATTGTGGCAAAAAAAGCGAGCTCGGACTTGAGACACGGACAGGATGAGTGGTCCATTTATTCTTAAGAAAAAATATCAACTTCCTTCCTCTTCTTAATATTCTTTTGTTTTACGCTTTTTCTTCGACGTTTTCGTTTTTTACCCGATCCGCTTTGAACTTTTTGAATGACGTCATCTCTCACTCCTTCACCTAGTTCTTTTATACGTGTTAGGGCGGAATCTTTTAACGATTTCCGGCTGAGTAAGTCCGATCCGATATCTTTTGCCATATTTAACGCTTTCTTTCCAATATATTTTACCGCATCTTTTAATATTGAAATTGCTTGTCTGAACACGTCTCCAAAAAATCCGTATCCTCTTTGGATCGGACGACCTTTAAAGTATTGTCCGTATCCCGATTGGGGGGGGGTAAAATAACAAGTGTGCGGATATATAGAATCGAGATAAAAAAATCCCCCCCGCCTGCGATCGATAATAAGCGATACAGTCTTCTGGTTTAAGCTTCATTTTATTAAATAAATGATTCTTTTGTGAAAACAAATTTTTATACTCGTCTAAAACATAATACCAAAAGCGATTTTCCAGAAGTAAAAATTATGTTTTCACCCGTGAATGAGCGCAGATCTATAGATATAGTCTCGATGTGATTGGTTCGAACGGGAAAAAATAATGGAGTGTTATAAATTTTAACAATTTGTTGTTCTTTTTCTCCCATGACAGGAATTACTCGAAACAACGGAGCCGAAGTATCCCCCACATGATGAGATTCTATTATATTAGAATATACAAATATTTCCGTTATTCCCGCGTTTAATTCTATGGGATACGTCCTTATAAATTCTCCTTCGGGATATTCTAATTGATCAAATCCTAATATATCTTTTAATTCTCTATTAAATTTGACTGAAGATCCTCGTGGAATTTTCAATAGTAGCTTTTTATCCGGAAGCGATTTAAAACTTATTATCTGAAATGCTTTAAGAAAATCTTTTGTTCCGTATAATCCTCTCGGTATATGTAATATATTTTCAACATTTTCGGTTCTTATTTCTTCTATATACCTATTTTTCTCGATTAAAGTAAAAAATTCTCCACTGAAATCTTGTAAAGACAGAGTATATCGAAATGTTTGTTCTTCTCCCTGTATAATGAACGGATTTTGATTATCTAAATTCAGCATAGAGAGAAATATGCCACCACTATCTGGAAGTAAACGCAGTTCACAATCATTAGCGACGGAAATTTTTACAGTGCTATCGTCTTTGTTAAAAGAAAAATTAATAAAATGATCCTTTTTCAAAACTTTCAAATTATTCGTAATATTTTCGAATATATGACTCGAGTTGTTTCCTTGCATAGGTTGTAACAAAATTAGAGTAGATAAATCTTCGGCTTTTATTTTAATCAATTTCATTTCCTTAGTAGTAATGACGTATTTGTTATTTTCACTAGTGATATTAAACCACGAACGTGGTATTATTATTTGGGATAAACCCACTTCCCAAGATCCTGTTAAATTTATCGGTGGATTAATTTTCGATGTGAAGGAGGATTGAGTATTTTTTGGAAAAAAATCCATACTCGCGGTGCTTATTAGAGTCACATAAAAATTATCCATTTTTTACTTTCTGCAATTCTTCGTTATAAAAGCGTCCTTTAATCGTGTTGTTGTTATAATCTTTCAGGATATAAGTAACTGGATTGGTAGGATGTTGTTCTTTTATAATGAAAATTTCCTTACTCCATCCGGGTAAATAACCTCTCGTAAAAGTTTTTCGTTTTTTAGAAACTCTAACTCTATCGTCGATTTTAAATTTATATTTTATTTTAGTTTTCGTTTTACCATAAAGTCGATTAAAAATTTGCGAATGATGTTGGGGTTTAACCTCGGCCGGAGACATTCCTATACTTCGATGCGTGCTATTATTATACGCTCGTACCAAATCGTTTAATTTATCAATATATTTATTGGAATTTCGATAAGTAATAAGACGATAAATTTTATTTTTTAAGGTCTTATTAAATCGTTCCACTATCGATGCTTTCGTTTCGGAATGAGTATAATAATGATTTATTTGATGTTTTTTAAATAAATCCTTAATAACAGAATTCATGAATTCCTTACCCTTATCGGTATGGATAAACCGAGGAATTATTTTTCTAAATATTTTTTGAAACGCTTTTTTTATCGTTTCCGGTTTTTTGTCTTTAACTGGAATTACATACGCATATTTAGAAAACGCATCGATAGTTGATAATAAATATTTTATTCCATTATTGACTTTCGAAAATTGTCGAACATCCATCAGATCGGATTGAAATAATTCTCCTTGATATAGAGCTTTAGTTTTACGACGCGTATAATTTATTCGTACTGGTTTATGTAGAGTATACGTATCTTGAGTCGATAGCCATTTTTCGACAGTTTTTCTCGGCAACTTTGTTGCTTTTACTAGGCTTGTTACGCCGCCAAACGATGCGGGATGAGATGGAGTGTAATAAATAGATCTCAATAATCTTTCCATGAAATATGCTTTCTTTTAGACGACGCAACTCGTTTAGGAATTTTTGTAGCAGATGCTCCGCCAGTTTTTTTCCTAACACTAATCGATCGAATCGGAGGCGATGGAATCGATGGCGATCGAAAACGAAGTACGGGGGATTCTCCTATTTTTAATCGAGTCGACAATGCTTTATTCCCAATCCATTCTTTGGGTATATTCGCTTTGATAATTCCATTCCAAAAGGAGTCAAAATTCGGGGGTACAATGCTCGATTTTCTCGTTCGCATAAGATAGGACATTAAATCTACTATGTGAGTGTTTATTATTGGTTCGTTATTCACCACTAATTCTCCTTTTTCGTTCCAATCGTATTGGTAAGATTTTAACAATTGAATGATATGCGGAACATACTTTTGATATGCTAACAGTATCGAGACTGTTATCTGATCTT